TGACAGCAAGCAAAGAGCATGAGCAGCCCTTCATCTTTCCTATGGATTTAGGTTCTGTATGTGTGACTTTTCTTCTTCATCCCTGTTTTTTAACACTGGTATTTGTATGACATTCACGGGAGCTATGCAGTGATTTGTCCATTGTTTTAAATCAAACTTGGTATATGAGTCGCATTTCTTCATTCTATCAGGAAATATTTTTTTCAATTCTATTAGGAAATATTTTTTAAAATTTTAATAACTGTTGGAATAGCAGGACATTGGTTAACTGGTGTTTACCCCATAGGGAATGATTCCTGCTTGAATTTTACTACCAGCTCATGCTAATGAATATGTTTTGTTCCCATCTCACCATACAGTGTGACAACTGACATCTCACTATCTCAAAATGAGTGCTTTTTGGACACAACTGGGAGTGAAAGCCAAGAAAACTCTTGATGACATAGTTATCTGTGGAGATGCAGAAAAATAGCTCCTAGCAGGGATGATTTGCCATTAGACTTTCAATTCATGAACATTTCCTTTGCATTTTTTTTTCCTTTGGGAGGTGCCCAAGGCAGCCTAACAAGCATTGCAGAAGGAAAAAATAAAAATGTGATGCTAGAAATGGGAGGTTTCATACACCACTTAGAAAATCTGGCATGTTAAAGGTATACATTACTATGCTGGATGTAACCTATGAGAGAAGAGCCAGGGATGGATTGTGAATAAAAAGCTGAAGCTGTTTAACTGAAAATTAATAATTCATATAGAAAAGTGAACAGGAAAACTGGTCAGAGGGGAAGCAAACTGCTGACCTACATGCACACCTGAGTGAAGTGTGATTTGATTGATCCATGTTATATTTGAAGTGAAAGAGCAAGATATTTTATTAAACAAAAAAAAAAAAAAAAAAAAACAAACAAAAAAAAAAAAAAAAAAAAAAAACAAAAAAACAAAAAACACACACACAAAAAAACCCACAAAAAAATCACCAAACAAAAACCAAACAAAACCCAACCAAACAAAAACCAAACAAAGCCCAGAAATCTCAACTTTCATTTCATACTCTACCATTCTGTCTCTGATGCTGTAATAAAAAGACTACAGCCTCTGCTTTCACATAATCCTTACTCAAAATCAAAACCATTGTTTTATCTTTCTTCACTTTCCTTTTGTGAATAGGCATCATTTGCCACTAGAAACTTTCAGTTTAGCTCAATATCCATTCAATTGAGACTGAGCAAAAAAAAGGAGGCATGTTTACCAAAGTCCTGATAAACAGAAGTAAGTGTAGTCCTTGAATCTGAAACCATTTTATGTTTGTATGTTTTGATTTGTATAAAAAAGCATCAGTTGTGGAAAAATGGTATCTGAAAAACTAAAGATGAGTAACTGTTCAAATCCTCTTAGCATCTAACTGAATACTTCCAAGATTACTGCTTCATGAGGAAAAGAACATTTTATAAACTGCATTCACCACAGCGATTATAAGGTTGCAAGGTGGTTCGACTGCAGTCAGTAAATGCATCCCACATTCTGGTCTGGACACAGTGTCTGTTTATCTGACCATAGATTAGCTTTGATTCAGAAACACTATCAAGGTTATACCATGTGCTAACATGACTCTTCTTCCAGATTTTGATGGCAGCCTCTATCCGTGAGGTCCCACAAAAGGCAGCTCTCTCCAGATCTGCCTTCTGCCCTATGGCTGTGCACGTGCTCTGAGCAAGTGCCTGCTTTTAAGGGAAATCCTGCTAAATGCTGTTAAAAAAGGTGTGTGTGTGGGGGGGTGTTTATTTGCTATGGTTTGGCTGCAATATTTCTGTATTTTATTGTATTATTTCAGTGTTGACTGATCCCAAAATCATCTATTCCAAGCCAGGAAAGCATCCTGATTAACCATGATGTGTGCAGGGAGGTTGCACCATGCCTGGGCTCAGAGGCAGGAGGAGCAGGAGGGGATGGAGGAGCAGGTGGGAGCCTTGACAGCCTCACCACCTTACCAAGAAGGGCTTGGTAGCATCAGAAAAGAGGCCGTGGATTATGTAAGAAGGTGCAAACCTTTAGTGACTCTAGTTCCAAGTCCACATGCAACTTTTCTTCAAGAGCACTGGTGATTTGCCTTGACAACAGTGAAATATCTTTACTTCGACCCATCACTAAGTCTTGTATTTAGCAGTATTTTAAGGCATTAGTCTTAAAGCATGCCCTAAAAATAGAGGTTGTAAGTAATAGTGACAGAAGCAGCAAAGGAGGATTTGGATGCTATTTAATGCTATGTTTTTGTTTTCTGAACTAGTGCATATTTCCTGCCCAAGCGTGCCAGGAGCTGGTGTTCAAAAGGGATGACGTGTGAACTCAGGGTTGTAAGGAGCAATTGCAGAACTGTTGTGTTGTGGGCAGGATATATTGCTTGGAGCAATGAATTTCAGGAGTCTGTCAGCCAGAGATGATAGGGAGAAATGAAGACAAGAGTGCTTTCTGGGAAAGTAAATTTGTGAAGGAAAGTAAACCTGTCAAAGAGGAAAAAGTCATCTAGTAACCTAGAGACTGGGAAGCATACAGGAGAAAAAACAGATGGTGTCATGCAGCTGAAAGAGATAAGAGAAAGACAAAGGGAGGAAAAAAGGTGGGAGTCAGGAGAAAGGGAAACAAGATAAAGGCTTCAGAGATTTATGGACAGTGTACACCTGAAATTTATTGGTTCTGCTACATCTGGGAAACAGTTTGCTTTTAGGAACTGCTCATTGGAGAATTAAACTTTCAGGATAGGATTTTCCCCCACATCCCCTGTAAACTACTGTTAAAATAAGGAGATTTCGTGGTCTCATTTTATTTTGATATGTTTATTCCATCCACACTTGTTGCTGAAGATACATTTTCACTGACATCTGCATCTTAATTAAAGGTACTGGGAGGATGACATGCCTCTTTAGCAATGAAAGGGCAACATTTGGACCCAGGAATGACTTCTGCAATGCACAGATCAGGGAAAATGGCATTAGGATGCAGAAAGACTGAAATTTCCTGTGGTAGGACACTAGGGCAGAAGAAGACAAAATGACTGGATTGCAATATTGCTTTTTAAAATCTTAATTCCCACTTCTTGCTGGACTTTGGCCTAAAGCTTATGGCTTTGGGAGCTTGATCAGAAGAGTTATTGTGGTGGTTTAAAAAGAAAATAGGTACATAGGGGGCAATGGAGAGGAAAAGTGACTCACACAGACAGACCTTGGACAAAAGGAAACGTGTCTGCTCTGACACATTTCATCCCTTCCCTAATTGTTTCCCAACCACCACTCCATCAGGATCTTCTCCTGCCTCCCTCATTTCATCACCTCCAAATTGTGCTCCCTGATAGTTACGAGTGGGGAATCAATCAGAAATTCTGCTCCTTTCAGCCACAGGTACTGGAGGCCACAGGGGGCTGAGATCTGATTAAGGCATTGTTGAAAATAGCTATTGCCTTTCATCTGAAACCACTATCCTTGGGTTAAACCAGTGGGAGCAGGTGAACGATGCACGTCCTGTTACGTCACTCTAAAGGTATCAAAGAAACTACATCTACAAAAAGGAATTTGCTTTTGAAAGTGCACACAAAGCTGTGAAGGCAGTTGTCTTGCTATACAGCACATAGCCAGTAAGAGTCACATCCAGTATATTATTAAATTGTGGGAGTTTTTTACTTAAACAACAATTTTTAAACTATGACCTGTAATAGTTTCAAACTTTCAAATGGCATAAGATACTTCAAAAATATGTTTTCTGCAGTTACTGTTCCACATAAATCCCAAAGCAGCTAAGTTTTCCTTTCAGTTTCAACACAGGACAGGTTTGTAGAGGGGCTCAACTTGCATCCTTAAGTGAAGTAAAATTTTCATTTCATTGTTATGAATTAAATCCCATAATTTAATTTGTTGGGTATTTGCAAAAGGTCAGATCAATGTCAGTTGTCTCACCACTGTTCCAGGAACAGTTCTACTTTATTAACGTGGCAGGCAAAACATTGTTTCTATGGATTGTGCACAAATAGTGTTGAGAATTTTTTTTTTAATTTCCTGTCTGTGGACAAGCTGAATGCAAAAAAATAATAGCTAAAGTTGTGTGCTAAGTTGTAAGGGTAAACCATTTCAGGCAATAACTGGTTGCAGAACATGGATCTGGATGACTGGAACTCACAGTATATTTCTAATTTAAAATCATTCTGTAAAGAGAACAGATTTTCCTGATTAAAAACCTTGAGAGTGGCTATATTTAATATCCACATCTACATTCCATGCTGTACTCAAATCTAATCTGTGTCTAATAACAAGGTTTTTTAATGATACTGATTCAGCTAGAAGATAGAAACATCTCCAACAGGATATTTTCACAAAACAAAATAAGTGATATAACTTCTCTATCTGTGTTCCACGGAGCAAAAGACATGACCTGAACACCCACACTCACCTGTGTGCTGCATAGGAAAGAAACTGAATTCCTTGCTCAATCAAGCACCAACAATAACAGCATTCAAAGCTGGGGTTTCTTCTATGCTGAGTCTGCTTACAAGTACGGATAGCTGCAGAAAATAGTTGCTTTAAAGTTTAGAAAAAACATTTTCTGACAAAGTGTTTCAGTTCATTGTGTCTACTATGGCTTCTATAGAAGCCATTCTGCACCTAATGGCTTCTATATCCATGTGGACAATGCTGCCCCTGGAGTGACTGTCAATGCACTTGTGAAACGTGTGACGGCCACAGGCACCGATCTGCATCTGCAGTCCTGCATCTTTTGTAAAACACCTCCTTGCCTTATCCCAAGCTTTATTCCTGTGCTACCCAGTGTGACAATTTCCACGTGAGACTTTGGGGCTCATCTAAGACCCTACCACTTGCATGTGTGGGTGCTTACGGCTTCACAGAAGAAAGCCACTTCTTTGTGCTTGTTCTACAGTGTTTATTTAAATGAAAAATACTTAAATTAGGTGAATTTATGTTATTGCCTGAGGGAAGAATGCATTCCATCCACAAAGTCACCAATATTTATATTATTTTATTTTCATTTTATTAAAAAAAATTATTTTACATAAAAGTATTATTTTCACATGGACAAGCCCATGCTCCTCACCCCAGAACTTCTGTGAGTGTGATGCCAAAATTATCTCAACATGTATTAGCTCAGCTAAAATAATGTGAAAATATACTACAAATATAACAGAAAGATTTTTTTGGTTATAATGCATAGCTAGTGAAGTGAAGACTGCAATACACGTATTCATGTTTGAGAAGAATCTATTAGCATCTTGGAAATTTTAGGAGATACTCAGAACTCCAGCTGAACACTGAGCAAAATTGTTGATGTAAAGGACAGCAATTTTTACAATGAAATTTATGGCAAACAGAGCATCTTCTAAGGCTTTTTACAAAGTCCTTTATCTTCACAGCCCTCTTCCTCCTTTGTACTTTTGAAGGGAAAGTGATCTAACACTCAGATAGTGATAGCATCCATTTCCCATAGAATTCTCACTGTGTTTACTGTCAACTGAAGTGTTTCATTAACTCAGAAGTAAATCATGTTCAGCTGATGCCACAGTCACTCTCCAACACCAGATGATAGGCCGCTTGTTGCCTCCTCTGACACAGCTCAGGGTGGTGCAGACACAGTCATGTGCGTGTAAGAACTTTTGGAGAGTGAAGCCCCTGTCGTCTTCCCCTCCTCTTCATCACCAGCCTCTCCCCGTGTGGCAGGGGGCCTTTGCTTTGCACAGCAGGTGAAAGTGGCTACAAAGCCCATGCGGAAACGCTTGTTCATGAAGCAGTATATGATGGGGTTCACACAAGCAGAAGTGTAGGACAACAAGTGTATGAAGGAGATGGGAGCCCCTGAGAGACGCTGGTCTGCTGAAGCGGTGTCGAACGCGCGCCAGGCATTGACACTGAAGATGGGAGTCCAGCAAATGAAAAACAAAACCACTATCACCATCAACATACGGATCACGAGTTTCTTGGCCATTAAGTTGGCAGAAGAGCTGTTGCTTCTCACCCTCTCTATCTTGCTGTGGCTCATAGCAGAGAGCTGTTTCAATGGCATTTTCCTTTTCCTTTTGCTTTTGTTGAGGTAGCATCCGTCTCCATCCTCGTATTTGGCACTGCAGGTACTTATTTTTCTTTCTGTACATATAAATTAGTGTTTAAATAGTTGGCAAAATATCTCTGAATGATGATTTAAAATAAAAAATGGAGAACGCAGTTTAAGTCTAAACAAATAACATAATTCATAGTTGGACAACAAAGGAAAGCACTGGCCTATTCTGAGTTAGTCATGTTATCAGCTGTTCTGCATCCACTGTCTCCCAATATTCTCACGTTATGTCTATACAAACTGATGCAAAAGGTGTAAGAACACTGCTGAAGTCCAGTGTTGATGGAAGATAGTTTTCAAGATGATATGCTTCCATTTTAACTTGACAATTTTAATTGTGGTGTTTGTTGACAGAAATGGTCCTCATCCATGGCCAGAAAAAAACCCCTTCATATTTCTATAATAAGCAAATTAGAAATTTCATGTACCCTCCCCCAAGCCTTTGCAAACAAGCCACAGGAGAGGTTTATTTGCTAGTGAGTAACAGAATAACTTCAATCAACAAATGCAGCTGGCAAATTCATGGCATAACTGACCATAATGATCATTTTTGCAAATAGAAAGTTTTCCTCTTACTAGCCTCAAGATGACTGCTTATATTTTCAACTGAAACTTAAAAAAACATCCCAAACCTAAGTGTATTGTTACCTCGTGAAGATTTTCTCTGGCTGGCATCAAATTTTATTCCTCTATAGAGTTCCAAAGAAATTAGGCCATATGCAACCATCATTATAATTCCAGGAATAAGAAAGAGTGTGAGTAGCAGAAAAGTGTACCTAAAGAATAAAAAGACAAACTGAGACCGGGGAACAGCATAAACCAGAAAAACTCCTTTTTATCCAGCTGAGAACTGGGGGAGGCTGGTCAGTGTTTAGTCACCATGCAAGTACATCATGTCTAAGTACTACTGCTGCTTGATAGTGCTGCTGTTTACTTACTCTGCCTGGATGTGTAGGACTCAGAGCACTGTCTCCCCACTCTTCTCTCTGACCCTGTTCTCTGTAAGCGACCGAAAGGATTCAGTTCTCAAGACATTTGCAACCTCAGATTCTACTTCTCTGCTTCAGAGGACTTTCAAACAAATTAACAGGCAAGGCAGCACACAAAGGGGTGCTTGTACGTGTCTGCATTTCTCAAAGATTAATCAAGTATTTCTCTGAAAATGTTAAAGTTTATGTATAAAGGAATGAAAGCACTATTCCTACTTAACATGACAGATGCTTTCTTTACAGCGACAGTCAGGGCTTAGCAGACCATAGTGTGAGAATCATCACCATGTTGGGTATCTTTCCTGTGACAAGGGAAAAGCCATGCAAGTGTCAAAATATAAGCAGCTTAAAAATACGGGGTTTTTTTTTACTTCCTAAATAAGCATGATAGAGTGTAAAGGTTTGCTGAAGGTTAATACTTGATTTTCCATAGGCTTAATGCTACCATGAAATCCTGTTTTCCACCAGATAATTATGCATTTGCTAACAGCCAGTTATGTCTTACCAAGACTGCTGAATGACATCACTTGGCCAAATGAGCCGGCACATATTTGCTGTGGTGTTGTTATACTTGGTAAAAGGTACCAGTTTGCTGTAGATTGGGTATGGTGACATGATAGTGAAGGAGACACACCAGGTAGCAGCAATCACTCTCAAGGCATGAGATTTTGTCTGCCAGACCCTGGACTGCAGCGGTTTGCAAATGGCACTGTATCTCTCCAAAGATATGGCAACCAGGTTGAATGTAGATACACTTACAGAGACACCTATATGTATAAAACAAAGAAAAAGGTTATTCTCTTGTTTTAAATGGTCATGTTTTTTCAAATGGTCTTGCTAACTTTCTGTATGCATACATAAATTTAAAAATATAGCAAACTACTTATAAGTTAAAATATTTATAAATACCATATAAAGTCACTGAAGACAATGGGGCAAAAGGTCTTCAGATTGTTCCAGACTGATATTCTTGCTCTCCCTTTCTTTAACTCCAAAACACCAAGAGAAAAGATACACTCTATCAAACCATAAAATTCTAGTAACGGGAGAAAAAGACACTTTTTGTCCTAATTATTCTCTTTGCTGCTGTGGTTTATTCATTCCACTAATTGCACTGAAATTCAAACAAGCATTTGAAATCAATGTGATTATGTGGTTAATTACTCTTTTAATGCAGATGTTCACAGTCCCTTTTCTATTGTTTTAAGTTTTTTGAGTGTCCTGCTTGACTGGTGATCTGATTTTATCATTCAAAAGAATTAAATATGTTACAACTTTTTTAATTAGATGCTAATGGAGTTACGAAGAAGGAGAAATGAAGTTACATAGAAGCAGAGACTTTGTCCTTTGAATGTCCTTAACTTCTCCTGTTCATATATTATAAAATATCTGTGTTTCTGTCATTGAGGTGCCCAAGTTCACCACTGCAAGATTATAAATATTTCTTCTTAACTTTGTCACAGATCTTTCTTTCAGTGAACCAGCTTTCATTTAGAAGTCTTTGTGAATTTTCTAATGTGGGTCAAACTATAAAATGCCAATATCTTTACAGTTTGTTTTACACAAATCATCTGTAATCTAAAATATGTCTTTCTACATCTTAAAAAATTGAACATCATTGATGCAATGGTTGTCAGTGTCTGTTTGTCAGTTGAAGCCTCTGTTACTTGAACCACTAATGGAAAATATCCACGTTCCAACTGTTAAAATAAAACAGCTTCATAATGAGAATGTTCACGTTTGATCCATCTCACTGGATTTTTTTTAATAAAGTAATTTACACAGTGAATAAGAGTAAGATGACAATGCTTCACTAATGTTTTATGGTATTTATGGCAGCAATTCATTATAATTGTTTAAACATGGCCTTTAGTTTTATTGGTTTTATCTACAAAAATATGTTGATTTCCCATTCGCACACTTTAGGTGTGTACTTTCACATTACATCAAAGTTCTCAAGGGCATGGGTTGAAAGAGGAACTTAGGTTTCTGTAATTAACTGAGGGTCTCCCAAAAGTGGTGAAAACTTTGCGTGATGTTCTTCTTTCTTTTTTTTTTTTTTTCTTTCTTTTTTTTTCTTTTTCTTTCTTTTTTTTTTCTTAAGAAACCAGCAAATGCATGAGAAGTATTGGAAGTGAGACAAAAATTGGTTACACACACAGACATAACCCAGGCATTTTGAAATTCCTGGCTCCACAGCAAAAAAAGGGCATACATCAAGGTGTATAAAAGTGATGCTTTTTAGAGTCAGCCTCTAAAACCTATATGTGTGTTTTATGGTCTCCTAGTGAACTCTGATCCCATCTGACCTGTCCTGAAAAAGTGCTTGCTCTAAATTCCAGCTCTGCAAATTACCTCTACTTTGGCCTATTTTATTTTTTCATGTGTCACTGCTACCAAAAATCTGTGGGTAAAATCCTCCCTTAGCAAGTATGTACAACCCCAGCACTTCTGGTGGGTGATCTGAACACTGCAAACAACTTTGTCAGGTACGGGTAAGCAAATGCGTGTGCGGGGTTCCTCATTAAAGCTGGATCATGCAACACACCTAACCTGATCCAGCAAAACACCTCTATATGTCATTAAAGTTAGGTAGGTGTCTCTGTGTTTCGCTGGATCAGACCAAGGAAACCAGAACCACAAAGATTTGCGCTACAAAGATGTTTCTCCATGATATTGGTAACTTCAACGGCGGGTGGAAACAATCAGTTTTTTGTAGGTCTTTAAATACCTTCTCACCTGTCTCATTAGTTAGACTTCAAAATAGGTATAAACTTCTCAGACTTACCCATGAAATAAGTGGCAGTTTTGCAAACAGCACTACCGAAAATAAAATCTTTCAGCAGGTTGGGAATGAGGGTGAAAGGCATGCAGAAAAGGCAGAGCATCAGGTCGCTGACTGCTAGTGACAGCAGAAACGTGTTGGTGACTGTTCTCATCCGCTTATTTCTTATCAGCACTGTAATTACCAGAATGTTCCCCAAAACGCTGAGCAAGAATATCAAACAATACAGCAGAATTCGAATTATCTGATGAAAATCTGAAAATTGTCACAAGAAAAGATCAGTTATGTAGCATTTGACTCAGAGTAGTATTCTATATTTCATCCTTTAATCAAAAAGTAAAAGCCTTTCTGAACTCAATTTTACTAAGGTTTATGTTTTAGTACAATACAAAATCAGTTAAACAGCTGAAATTCTTAAACTTATTCTGATGTTCTGCATAGCATTCAGCTGCAATACATGCAATACACTGTACATTTGAAGAGTCAAATACAACTTCTTAAAGCATGTTCTGCTCACACCACTTAGGGTGCAGCATCCATCATGAGAGTTCCTTCTTTATGCAGAAGTAAGAAATTATATAGCAAACAAAAATATTTTAATACATGATAGGTTTTTTTCAGCTTCAAAGTGCTATGATTTCATATTTAATAATTTTCATACACAGTATGAGATCTGATCACTCCATTGTTATTGAATTGACTAAAAATCCTGTTTCTCCAAATCCGTAGCACAGCTGTTTACATTTTGTGCCCAGTAGTGCTACTGTTTTAATTTTCCATTATATCCAAATTTTTTCCTAGCTGAATTTTTAACTTGAAAAACCAGAACACGCTAAATTCTTTGCTGCCTGTTTCTCATCCTAACTTATCAGCAAGCAGTTGATTTTGCACTTCCTCAGAGAAAAAGCCTTGCATAGCTCTTTCTTTCCACTGTATCTTTACATCCAGCTAGAACTAAAACCGTGTGAAAAAAAATCTGTTTTTCTATACCTACCTTTAGAAGGATAAGGTGGATCATTCACACAGTAAAAAGTGTCATTTTCCAAGATGATATTGCACAGGAAAGCAGTAATGTTGGTATTGTTCCCAAGGAAGCTTGCATCAACTATTTCCATTCTTCAGTATCCACAGATTAGCTTTGATGAAGAAGAGGGTGGGTTTGTAACTATCTGCCCACTCTTTCAGTAAATAAATACATTTCTGAATGAAGTCTTCAGGAGAAATACAAGAGAGGCAGTTGTGCAAGGAAGCTCTTCTGAGTCTCTGACAGGAGCACCCAGCACACAGAGCCCTGTTCAGGCTGAACAAGATTTATTCCAGGGGCTAACAAGGCAGTTCAGAAAAGCAAAGCAGGTGTGCACATACACACTCACATGTATGCACATACACACACACACACACATCCCCTCCGGTACTTTTTAGATCCACCCTCTTCTGTTACTGGGCTAGTGTTGGGATTATAAACAGCCTAGAAAAAGATTACAGCATTAACCCCTTGCAAGATTGCTTCTACTCTCGTCTCTGCAATATTTCCCGGAGGCATACTGTTATGCCACAGCCAATGAATGAGAACCAGTGAGTGATGAGGGTGATAAATCTGTCTCTCAAATACCAACATTTGAAATGGTAAGAGTAGCTGAATAAAAGGGCAGAGAAGAGGAAAACATAGTGAAGATTTTGCATTCCTTACATGGAAATGATTCTTATCTTCATATTTTTCAGAGCAAACTGAAGATAGGGAAGGCTTAGAAAAATAAGAGCAGTTACATTTAGCTCATTTGGTGAAGTTCTAGCTTCACACAAAGGCGCAGTACGTGCCTGATCCAAACCCCAGCAAGGCAATAGAAAAACTAACTAATTTCAATATTCCTGGATCAAACCTTATAAAGGTATATTAGAATTGTTAGTTAATATAAGCAGAAGCCTACACATTTCCTCTGTGTAAGGACTTGTATATGACTTGAATACAAACTTGATTAAACTGATAAATTGGGGCACAGTAGTTACACACCAGCGTAAAACACAATGATCTTGAAAGGTTAAAAGTTCTGCTTTTTTAATACATAAACATCATCCTCACTTGTTTTCACAAAGTCATGGGCTTTTAACCTCCAGTATACAGCCTGTTTATAGTCAGAAATGTAAATTAATATTTGAAATGAATCTGTTATAACTTAGTGGAAAACAAATTTCACATTTAAAATCTCTTCTACTTAAACAGGCAGAGCAATAACACATCCTTTATAACAAGTCCTAACCCCTTAAAGTTGATATACACAGACTGGAATGCCTGGGTTTCTTTTCCAGTCTTGCCAGCTTTGCTTTATAGTGTGAATGTGGGAATGGGTGTGTAGGGGAGTAGATTGAAAAGCAACATTTAAAGTTCTAATCTCTCAATTATCCTTTTTGCCTCTGGGAGTCCTGGATGCAGCTGGTCATCAGTGGTCCATACCACTGCGTGGTCCCACTTGCTGCGAGCAGGGTGAGAGGCTGGCCAGGGCTGCAGGGCAGTACAACAAACGCTGTAAAGCCAGTGCATGTCTCTCTCGTTGGTCTCAAATATATGTGGGACAATGTGAAGGACCAACTTCCCCAGGAACCCCTCACTGAGCCCCATCCCAAGGGATGGGCCCACTACAGTGTCAAGACATGTTTCCTAAGGACATACAAGATGGATGAAGCCAATGAGGCCAGCAGCCATGGCTGGAGGCTTCATGGAGTCAGCAAAGAGGTAAACTGAGCCAGGCTGTGTTGGCTGCAGCTTGTCCTGTGAAGCTTTTCAGCACAGCCACGTACTGTGCAGACAGCAAATGAGCAGAGAGTACAGTGGTGGTGAGCTATGATTGACTCCAGAGGGTACTAATTTCAAGCAAAAGCAAGTGCTGAATGTGTGAGGGAATGATATCTTGTGCAAATCCCAGCAACTGTGTAGTTACTGTTAAAACTGGATCATCCTGTTCACATGCTCAGAACTCTAAATCCGTAAGGTGCAGCTTTCCTCAGTAAATTTGTGCAGACCATGTGTCCAGAGATTTTTGTCTGTTATTACAGTCCTCACCAGTTTTCCTTTTGTGAGTGCCAGGCTTACAGACTGGCTCATAATTCCAAGGGTTTAGTTCCCCTGGAGTCCTTTTTAAACATTGTCATCAAATTTACACTATTTTTTTGCTCCTGGCAACAGCGTAGTTCTAAACAATAGATTGTACATCATGTTTAATAATTTTACTATTTCCTTTAGAAGTTCTGGATGAATACCATCTGGTCCTGGGCTGAGCTGGATTCAGCATCTGATGGTTAAATTGCCAGAGTAAATGAGTAAGAATTTGCTATGAACTCTTGACTCCCCTCTTGGAATCAATTTCTGCATGAAACATTTCAAGATCAAAGAGTTTTGTTTTTATAGGCGTTTATTTTTTGCACAGATTTACTCAAATGTACAGCCAATACTCCTCATGTTTGGGCAGTTCTGAGTTGCCTTTATAATATCATTTCTTTCCAATCCTTTTAGCTAATTTCATGACAGATCATTCTCCATGCAGATCACTATCATCTTACTGTCTCCCTGCAAGCTTTTGGAGAGGAAAAAAAGAGGAGATGGTTTTAATGAAATGCTTGCTTATCACAGATGTAATTTTATTATTTAGGAGAATCGAAAATTATTTTGATCATTTTTGATGATCATTTTTGATGATCAATGCATGAACATAATCATGCATTATTTGGGATGCTGGAAGTTTTAGGGAAGAACTTCCTTTGAGCTGGCTGTTTTATTAACAACAATAATTTATTAATAAAATTGGCTTTGTAATTAAGAAATAATTTAGATACCTTAATGTGCCTGCGTAGATAGTTTAGACAAAAGTATACAAAATTTTTTTCCCTATATTCGAAGGAGGCTTGCTAATCCCTGACAACAAAAGAATCTTTTTATTTTTCTTGTAATTTTAGCCTTAATCCTTTTTCCCCCTGTAATGTCAAATATTGAACACACTGGCTTTGCAGCCAAAACAGTTGCTGTGCTTGGTCATTTCCTGCTATGTGTATATATCTTTTCTCATCCAAAACCGAGCTGCATCAATTTACAGTTGCCTTATTTTTTTTTCCCTGAAGAATAAGCTGTTCTGTTTTTTCATTAATTTGACAAAGATCTTTACTTAAATTTAAATGAAATTCCACTTGTAAAATTATGAATTTGGAAAAGCTTATCTTTATCTTGTGTCCCACTTTGGGTTTTTTACCATGTCTTTTTCTGGCCTAACAAATGAAATATAATAAACTAACTAGAAAAAACATCTATGAAAAGTCATGGTTGACTTCTGTTCTCACTTGCCAGGTTTATGCTGGCATTAGGCCACTGATTCAGTGGCATTATTCACACAGGCAGAACCTACAAGGAGATCAGGATTAGCCCACACTTCTGGAGAACACACAAAATTCTCAGGAACACATTTTTTGTAAGCTTTTTCAAAGTGATTTGAGCTTGAGTCCTGTCAGTGTCTCACAGTAGCTGCAATTAAACAGTTCATATCACACCCATCAGAACTCGATAACATAATGATGGAATTTACTTCAGAGTATCTTGTTGTACCTTCAGAAATGGTATTTCTGAAATACAATTCACCAACTGCAGAGGGGATCAAAGGCAAACAAGGTGCTCCTGCTGCGTCTGTAGTGCTTCTCCAGATGTCACCTATTACATGCCATGTTGCTTAATAAATGCCTGGAAGACTGCACAGATCTTCAATGATGATATTCCATGTGGACACATTTCAAGGTATCTTTTAAATTATTTGGGGGTTGACCACTTTTCTTTTTTTGAAGTGCCAACTCATAGTGTTTGACTTTTTGGATGTCTGCAGTACCACCTACCTGACCTACCTGTGAGATGCAATACAGCTGGCCCTGATGCCTTCACGGGCATCCAGTCAGCCTGTCATACCACCTTCCTCAGAAGGGAGGAAATAGAGCTTCCCAGATGGTGGCTGTGACTTATGTACAATGTTTAGGCTCTCTGATGAATGGGATGAATAAAGCCAATGGGATGAGGTTCAACAAGACCAGGTGCTGGGTCCTGCACTTTGACCACAACAACCCTATGCAGCGCTACAGGCTGGGGACACAGTGGCTGGAGAGCAGCCAGGCAGAAAGGGATTTGAGAGTTTGGATTGACAGGAAGCTGAACATGAGCCAGCAGTGTGCCCAGGTGGCCAAGAAAGCCAATGGCATCTTGGCCTGTATCAGGAACAGCATGGCCAGCAGGTCTTGGAAAGTGATTCTTCCCCTGTACTCGGCACTGGTGAGGCCACACCTCAAGTACTATGTCCAGTTCTGGGCCTCTCAATTTAGGAGCGATTTTGAGGTGCCGGAATGTGTCCAGAGAAGGGCAATGGGACTGGTCGAGGGTCTGGAGCACAAGTCCTATGGGGAGCAGCTGAGGGAGCTGGTGTTGTTCAGCCTGGAGAGGAAGAGGCTCCAGGGGAGATCTCATAATTCTCTACAACCACACAAAAGGAAGTTGTAGCCAGGTGGGTGTCGGTCTCTTCTCCCAGCAGGACAAGAGGACATAGTCTTAAGCTGCACCAGGGGAGGTTTAGGTTGGACATGAGAAAGTTCTTCACAAGAAGGGTGATTGGGCATTGGAATGGGCTGGCCAGGGAGGTGGTGGAGTCACCGTCCCTGGAGGTGTTTAAGAAAAGACTGGATGTGGCACTTAATGCCACAGTCTAGTTGACAAGATGGTATTAGGTGTTAGATCATAAGTTGGAGTCAATGTTCTCAGAGGTCTTTTCCAACGTAGTGGATCGTGTGATTCTGTGATATTGTCTCTGTAAATCTTCAGGTCCAATTTCATAATCATGTTAAAGTTTCTGTGCACTTTCAGGGTGAAAGAAAAACCAGAAACTCACTTTTGCTCCAGAGATTGTTATGCAAGTGTTGTATAAAATTTAGGGAAACTGTTTCAAAGAAATATGTGTAAATGATTTGTCCAGTGAAACATAAGTTCACATAAAAATCCTTCTGTCCAGTGAAACATAAGTTCACATAAAAATCCTTCTGACACTCTGTCAGTAAGATGCCATTACTGAGGTCGGGGATGAGTCATTATCCACTCATTCCTCCTACATGATTTACTGTGCACATTGCGACTCATGTTGGCACTCCCCAACCTACCACTGGGCTCAGCTGCATTGCCTCTCTCCATACACCTGGCCCTCTAACTGACTATTAAAAATTGAGGGCAGAAGTTACATCAATGCTTGCTGAACAACTGAAGCTGACCCTTCTTTTCATGGATTATCATAACTGATGCATAAGTGCTATGAGGAATGAATACACACCCCTGAAAGAGGAATATAAATATTTTTAAAAGGTGTCTGTTTCTTTTGCAGGTTATACATGGGGTTGTACAACTCTCTTTTTTTCCCTTCACCCTATGAATATTAGTTTGCCAGGAAAAAAACATTGCATGATTCAAGCTAGAGTTGCAAGGAAATAGCCCTACATATCCTCATACTGTGGTTGCTAGAACCTCATGCCAACTAACACATGTCCCAAGAGGTCTCTTTTTTTGGATTATAATAACACCAACAGGTGTTGGTACCATTAATGGGCTCCCTTGAGCATAGCTTTGCATACTAGACCAGCATCAGTCAAAGCCAAAATCCATCACGTATTCTAAGGTACCAGTTGTCTGAGACTTCTCTGAGGTACAGTCTTGACATGCTTTGTAACAAACAGATAAAATATCAGGGGTTGTCACCAGAAACAGTCCCCATAGGTTATAATGTCAGCAACAAATTGGTATAACTGTTCTTAACTGTACTCAACTCCTTAACAAAGCTCAAAACTGCAACAAGCTGCTAAATAAACCCTCACTTGTAACAATTGAGAACCATAATCTTTTATTTTAAGATTCCAGTTAGGCACATAACAGAGAGTCACCACTATTTTACCACAAGAGACTTTCATTAGTAGATCTCACAGAGGTATATTAAAGAAGTTAGTTATGCTAACTGCAGCCACTATGAGTTTCAATTTAAAGATGAAAAATTGAAGCAAAATATTTGGCACAGGCCACTCAACGGGAGAGTGGAAGAATTGGGAAAAGAAAGGCAGCCTTTTCTGACTGCTGCTGTCAGACACACTGCTCTCAAAAGAAGTCACACTACCTTCATAATGTTAAGATCAAATAGATTTCCACTT